TATACTTGAAACCAGAGCTCTGAGAAATACTGAAAATATTGTTATAAATTGAAGCAACACCTCCCCCTTTACCTTTCAGACGCGGCTCATGTTTATAACAGTAATCTTGGGGGGTAGACTCGTTTAAAATAATGTAATCATCACGTTTTAGCCAGGTTTCTGTCAAACAGAGCACATCTAGGTTAATATGTCAAAGGAAAGGTTATTGTTTTCATTTTATGATGTTCTTGTTTTCTTCCCTTCAGATGGTTGCTTCCATAGAGGTTTTCACCTTTACTTTCTCAGCCATCATTTCTCACGTCATGTTTGTTTGTTTACTTAATTATTTTTTATCTTGAATTTTTCAAAAGCTTAATTTTTTGTTGTTGTCACATTTGCTTTTTTGAACTATTGCATCTCATTGTTTAATTAATTAATAAATTTTTTAGTTTGCATTTTTTTTAATAATTATTTTATAACTTTTCATCTAACACTGAATTTTTTGTTTTAAGTAATTTTTAATTAATGCATTCTTCTATTGTGTTTTATTCGATTTTACTTTATTTTCCCATATTTAATTTTTTCTTACATCAATGTACTAATTCCTTTGTTTTAATTTGTAAACGTTTTTTTCCCATATTTTTTTCAAGGCTTTTTATTTTATTTATTTATTTTTTATTGTATTTTCATCTCTCACATCAATTTATTTATTTGTTTTAGCTTTTTTAAAATGTATTATTTCCAGATGTGTAGACCTTGCATTTTTCAAGGCTTTGTTATTTTATTTTATTTTATTTTCAACTGTAACATCTCACGTTCTTTATTTTTGTATTAAATAATTTTAAATAACTTGTTTATTGTATTTTTGTTCCATTTTACTTTATTTAATTTTTATCTGTCCCATCTCACATACATTTATTTATTAATTTTAGCTTTTTTAAATCTATTTTGTCTTTGTCGAGCCTTTATATTTGTTTTATTTACTTGACTTTTCAAATGTCACATCTTGCATTCTTTATTTTTTTGTTAAATTATTTGTATATATTTTTTATTGCATTGATTTATTATAATTTACTTCTCAACAATCCCACCTCATGTCATTTTATTCATCAGTTTATTTGAACTTTTTTAATAGTTTTAAATACCTTTTGTTATACGTTTCGTTTAAATACGTTTTGTTTTTCCTTCAGCTTCACTCGACCAATCAGAAGCTTTGCTGAAATCACAGACTGTCTGTGTCTGATTACAGTGTCTCAATCACCTGTGTTTGCTCAAATATGTTGACATTCCCCGTCTGATTGTAATTATTCCCTCAGTCTCAGTCTCAGTCTCAGTCGTTACGTGTCTGTATCTGCGTCTCTCATCTCCTAGATATTTCACCTCACTTTTGTCCGTGTTCGCTCCATGTGACGGTTAATCTCTGTGATGCTCCTGATATTTTATTCAGTGCCTAATTAACTCAGAGACCCAGAACGGCCGCGAGCCGGCGGGATTCACAAGCTCTTTCATTTCAACCTCTTCCGTTGGTTTCATGCCATGTAATTTAAACTTAATTTTGTGT